TTTGTGGCCATAAAATGCAACGCTTGGTTACCATAATAAGAGGCACCGCTCTTGTCTACTTCAGTACTTGTCAACAAAAGCAAGCCTGTGCCTCTCTTATTCCATAACATTTCTATGCGATCAGCTTGGAAAAAGCTTTTACATGCTATGGTTTGATTTTGCGAAAGTGCAGGATACTTATATAGTTTACACATCGATGGTGAATCCTTACCCCCTGGCGTATAAAATGCTAAGAACGGACTTACACCAGGTCCCAAGGATAACATTCCACCTCGACTGCCGCCAATTTTTCGCATTGTTTCCTTGAAGCCGGCAATACCCTTGCTTAAGTCATAAAAAAGTGCCTCTCCGCCTACAACAATGGCAAAAATGGACTCGTCCGTCGACCATGATGGTTCCCAGTCTGTTTGTTTCTTTTGAACAATTGACAACACTTCTTCGCCAGTCGTTAACTCATATACAAACATATTTGGTGAACCATCTGGTTTATCCTTTGTAACGGCATATAATTCCCAAGTGCATAAATAATTGCCACGAGGAGAAAATTTGAGATAAAAAGCTTTAGGACGCGGCAATGAACATTGTATTTGCCAATCATTGCTCTTGAGAACTTTAATTTCATGCCCGTTAGACAATGCGAAATAACGACCATCCGGACTAAATGATATCGATCGAGAATTTTTCGTCTCCTCTCGTGGAAGGTTTGACTTGTACTCGTACGGGAGTTTTGCACCCGACGAAGCCCAAAGTTCTATCCCCACGCTAGAGCGAACTGAAAAAAGTTTTTAAGTCAACAAAAAAATGCAAAAAATCGAATTACATTATCTACGTTTATATAGAATGAGTAATAGAAAAACTCATTAGTAACAATGTCTCATTAGTAAACTTATAAAAATTGATATTTTAAAAGCAAATAGTATACACTACTTTATTAAGAATTGCATTAATATATAAAAAATTTAATTTTTATATATAATTTTTAACTTTATTTAATATTTACTTGCAAGGGCAGGAGAAACACGACGTCCGTCCGCAGCCATTGTCAAAATTCTAACCTCGAGGAATTGGCTTGTATACAAGGTTGCAAGATGTATTGAAAAACATATTTAAACATTTACTACTATTTGACATATTAATCATAGCCAAGACGATACAATTTTTTTTAAATTAATATCTATCACTTTTGAAATTGTTTATACAGAATACTTAGAATATCTATATTCTTTATTTGACAATTCTTTCCACAGAATGTGAGCAGTCAAAAATAAAATTATTTAGAAAAGTCTATAGTATATAATTCTTATATGAAATGTTTAAAATGTTTCTGAGTTAAAAAAATAATAGCAGTTGATAAACTATATCGCCCTTAAAGTGTAAATTCTTTCAGCACCACAGAAAATATTTTTTTTAAAGTAATATGTATTAAAGCTTTATATATTATTTAAATACTTTGATATTCTAACTATTCGCCGAAAATATGTGAATGTGACTTGCATCAAATAATCTATATGCATAAAAAAGTCAGTATCTTATCGATATGAAAGCAATATGGACTCTCCAAATATTTGATATTTTTAATTCTCATATGGTTAGATTTTTTTGCAAATCATTACTTTTAGCATGAAAATTTTTTGGTGAAATATAATTTTTAATTAATGGTTTGTTGATGTATTAAAAGACTTGATAACTTTATAAAAAAAATTATAACATGCATAAGTATATTTTATATCATAATCAAAATAACATGGTTATATGTATGTATGTATCTATAACAGAACAAATTATTTTTGATAAACAATTTATTAAAATTTTAACAAATTCAATTAATAAACTGCGAATATTTTCACAATTACATTATTTACAATTTGCTTTGACTTCATATTTATTGCTTTGATATAATATTATAATTTTATATAATTTATGATTACTACAAATCAGCTAAATATGATTCAGGGCTTTCATTGAAGCGCAGCAACGCGGCCATCTTTATTCTTTTGTACTAGATGATTGCTACTAAACGTTTCTATTACTTTTACAGTAAATCTTGAAAATATATCACCAAATAATAAAAAATTGTTATGCGTCCAAAAGCGATGAACACTACAGTATACACCCTTAATAATTTCCAGATATTCATTAGCGATAATTTCACAGTTCAAATAATATGTTGAATAATTTTATATTTATTAAAAAATTAAAATTAAATTAAAATTGCAATTAAAAACCAGCAAAGTATGCCACAGAAAATTTAGACTTACGAATTAAAATCAATTAAATGAAATTAATAAAAATTAAAATAAAAGTAATATAAAATTAGTTTTAAAAAAGAATTTTTATTATATTAATTTTATTGTTAGCATATTATGATATGCTAATTGTTACACAAATTTAAAACTATCCATCAAGTCACATTACACAGAATTGTAAACATCCGAATAGTCTCGGCTATTCACATATTTTCAGTACTCCCACATGAGATATTAGTAACTATCTGGGTAATTTGCAATACCAAATTTTGCAAATATTTTATTTAAGAAGTATTTACTCTGTCTTGCAAATTCATTGCAACGTCCAATGAGATTGTACGAGCCTGGAATTGACAAAAACAAAATATACACATAAAGTTTCTTGCAATTGCTTCCTATACCCATACGCTTGTACATATGCTTGCAACGAAACAGGAAAAAAACAGATGTTTTGACATTTCTTGCTTATCATATGTATGTGGTATGCTGCGAAAACAGCTGTTTGATTTTGATGTCGCAATTCTTCAACAAAGGTGTTCTCTCACTCTTGCAATTTTAATATAGCATTCTTGCATTTCGTACACCTTGAATTGACTTTGCAAGACAGAATGAATATCCCTATTATATTGTTGAAATGAAATGAAATGCCTATAAAAATATCTCATATATATCTACACAAAACAGGTTCAGTATATTGTTATGTTGATGTAGCATTTAAAGAAACAATAGTTGTTTGTATGAACACATGGGTATATAATTAATACTTTTTTGCAATTAACTCTAATAAAATACATATCAAATACAACCCTGTATAATTGAAACGATTTGTATTTTAATTTGTTTATGTGTACACTCGCAACACAAACAAATGCGCACTTAGAAACACTTAGGATAGAATTTTATATTATATGTTTTTGTTTATTAAATAAATTGATATCAACGAAATTTGATATAAGGTATTGAAAAATGTCAATGATACAATAACAAATGTCATCACTAAATAAATGTAGTCTGAGGCTTTTATTTTAATTAAAAGGCGTATTATATATAAAATCAACACTCACATATAAATGGTAACTGGATTGCTCAATACTAGATTTAAATAAAATATTAAAATCATCACGTGAGGGCTCAATTGATGTAGCATTGGAAACGGAAATTAAATTAACGCACACCTACTGTGGCAATGTTCAAACAAATCATTTTCAATTTCTACTTGCGAACTAACATTAAAATTATTGCCGGCACATTAATCGTTTGAAAGAAAGAAGTAAAGGAATATCACGTATTATTTATAAAATGATGTTAACATTTTTCTATTTTATTTATTATTTACATTATATAGTCGAGCCTACTCAAAATAAACAAAATTTCCAGCTTTTTACAATTTAAAGACTTGATTGTTCTTTTAATATTGAGCAAAAATATCACGCTTCAAACTTCTTGTTTTGTTTAAAGATTTATATGCAGGTTAATAGTATAAAAAAGGTATAAAATATATAAATAGGGCGCTAATTGGTATTAGCCTTAGTTTAAGTGAAAGAGCACTGCCATTTCGATTAGCCATAAATTTATGTTTCCAATTTGCGTGTGTTGGAACACGATAATAAATGAGCAACATCAGCGGGAAAGATATGTGATTATAGTACACATTGAGTTGAGAATAGGCGTGTTTATAAAGATTACAATATATGTATATATATTCTTGCTTTTGCGGGCATCCTACAGTTGCCATGATTGATAATGTCCTTTCTTTATCTTTCATTTACCGATTCCTTTTCTTAATATAAACACATCGTGGAATGTTTCAAAGAACTGCAGTATCAGTACCTATCCGTCATAAATGAGGTGTAGTAACAGCACGTATCCGTCATAAGTGAGATGCAGTATCAGCACCTATCCGTCATAAGTGAAGTGAAGTATCAACGACCACGTATTAAGACCACGTTTGTATCTGAAATCTCTAAAGATGAAAATATTCCATGATGTAATTGATTTCGTGATATATATATATATATATATTTTTAATTTTTTTTCATGGGTCCAAATTATATTCCGTAAGTGATTATTATTATTTGATATTTGAGTCTGTATTGAAGGTTCGGATGTTTTTTTAATACCATACTACTAGTCTAGCATCTAATCTCTTTCAAGAGAATCGACTTTTAGTTTTTTCGCCTGCAATAGTAAATGCAAAACTTTAATCTTTGCTAATTAAGTAGGTATTAATTTTTCTTATAGTATTGTTTTCGTCAAACGATTTTTGTCTATTGGCCGAGTTTTATTTTTGGATTTGTATAATTCGGAAGAATTATTTAATTAAGCTAACAATTTATTCACCTTTATATAGGTGCATACTCTGAGTACTCTATAAAGGTCGGGGTACTTTGATTGAAGTTTGCCAGGAATATATTGCACCGAAAACAAATACTTAGACAATACTCAGTTTTTTTTTTATAATAATTTTTTTTTTACACTTTTCATTTTTCTGTAGCTACTTTTAACAGAACAAAGATTGAAAACAGCATACTGAATTTAATCGAAAATTTGGAAGTTCTGTATATAGGACTTCCAAGGTAGTCTTAATTATTTCAGTGAAAGCTATACTAAACAGACACTTCTAAAATCGTACATCCCGTTTTAATTGTTTATTCACAGCATGTTCTCTTAACATCCCATAATTATTGGTTATTGGCTGTCAGTATAGACATCCGATTTAATGGTAACAATAATATTTATTCCGTTTTGTTGTGATCCTACAAACATGTATTACATGCGTTTCAAACGCTTAATAAAAATCACTAAGCCGGAAACAAATAACATCTTCGATACTGTATTGTAAGATAAGACATTAAAAATTTGCAAGGTTGATGAGGTAATAGGAGTTTCATATGATAAATGATTGAATGTGTGTGATTACAACGTTGTGATAAAGTTGATAGCAAGACAATTATCAAGTTTGCGCATATTCGATCTGAAACGTAGCGTGGTAATCCAAAACAAGTTGTTTTATTACTCTATTGAGCTGTCACATTCCTCAAATTTAGTGCATTTCAACTATTTTTCGTTTCTATATCTATATATACATTAGGGATAATCCTGATCTTGAGCAGCGAGCTCGGTAATCATGTAACATGGTACCTGGTTGCTGGTAAAATGCCAGCAACAAAATATATGCGATTATAATGTATTTCGTTGTCGCTTTGCGCTGGTACTATATTATTCGGTTACCATGCTCCTTAGACGTGAATGCCTCTCTTTTCGTACAAAAATACAATAGCTGTGAAATCCTATTTTTTAAAGGACTAATTTCCTTCATTGAAATTTTCTGTGCACACCTATTAACCAACTGCAATGTATGTATATCAATATAGTTTACTTTTGAGATATCAAACTTTAAATATACGAGGGCGGTTTGATAAGTCAGTGAATTTTTGAATAAAACAAATTTTTTCGACAAATAAACATTTTATTTTTCTACATAATCACCTTTTAGCTCGATACATTTAGTCCAGCGTTTTTCTAATTTTCTTATTCCGTCCACATAATAGGTTTTCTCAAAGCTCTCAAAATACGCGTTTTCTTCGATAATGACTTCTTCATTCGACTCAAATCTCTTACTGCCCAGCCATTTCTTTAGGTTTGGAAACAGTCGCATGGGGCTAAATCTGGAGAATATGCTGGATGGGGTAGCAGTTCGTATCCCAATTCGTGGATTTTGGCCATCGTGACTAGACAAGTGTGCACACGTGCATTGTCTTGATGGAACACTTTCTTCTTCGACAAATGCGGCCGTTTTTGCTTCAAATCAACGTCGAATCTGTTCAAAAGCTTTGAATAATATTTGCCGGTGATCGTTTTACCT